TTGTCGGAGTCGACCACTTAGTTAACCGCTTCTCTTGATTCTCCACCCGCTTGTTGAGACAAGATATGTGCATCAGCAAAGCGGTGCATCGAGTATTATCAAAAGTGACTACATGTAAGAGTGTTATTCTCTGAATTTCGAACTAACACTCGTTTTTTACCTTCTGTTGTGCAAACGCAATACAAACCACATTCACACAAGTAGACATCTTTTTTATCTACACTTCATTAATATACTTCTTGCACATACAAATACTTGTGGGTGACGCGATGACGTTGAGGTTCACACGTTAACCAAAGGGATATATGGGGAGCTGTATCCGACTGAAAGGATACCTACATTTGTCTTTGAGACTGGGTTGTAATTATGCGCGAGCAGTAAGAGACCTGTCCCCGGTTGTTGGAAGTGTTGGTAACGCTGTCCACTGGATAAATCGCTATCCGTTGGGTAGCGCAGTGTGTTCTGTTGACCATTATCCACTGAATAGCGATTTATCCATAGGATAGTGTTATCCGCCATTTCAAAAAACGGCGCCTGAAGTCTACAATGAACCCTAACCTTCGAACTCAAGAGTTAATTCCCAATCTCTTTCTCGATATAGCGGGTGAAGCACATAAGTATAAAGAGATTTAAATATGAAAAAGATTAAAAGACTAGGAAAAGATGTCAAGATTCGAATAATGTTGCAAATTTTAATAACCGGTAATTTGCTAATTTCCCTTCCTCCTCCGTTTTCTTTTGTTTTAATTAATTTCCTCGTTCCATTTCCTCTTTACTTTGATGTTGTTTATAGCCAAGATGATGCTTTTCGATGGTTTTTTTACTTGTCTCGCGTATGTTGTATTTAGGAAATTTCATAAGAATTGTTTTCATTAAACAACCACTTACCCTCCTAGAATACTCATTATCATCGTAAATATAGAATCTCAAATAAACGGATCTGGGATTCGGCTTGCTAGCAAACACTCTAGCTCTTTTTCTTCTCGTTCTTCTGCGGGAAAATATGCTCCAGAAAGAGAATGTCTTGGTTTTGATATGAATGGAGTCCTCTGTTGCTGTGAACCATGCCTTTGACAAATCATTTTTTTTCTGATTCGCAAGGGATTTTCTCCCACTTGATGGGACCTATAAACAGAAATTGATGATAAAATCAGGATAACGAAAATCAGTTCTATCTACCTTCAAAGGAATACATGGGTAAAAGGAATGTGTCGGATTACTCGGCAGTAGACGTTCACGAGGTTCCTCTCAGGATGAGGATTAGGTTAAGTCGAATTGAGATTATTTTCTTGGATTTTGCGAAAAAGGAAAACCAGTTAAAGCACAGATAAAGCCTCTGGGAACGGGGAGAAGAAGCAGCAAAAAAAAAAAATACATTTTCTTAAAGCATTTTCTTTTGAATTCAGCTGAAGGGATTTTTCAGCCAAGAGAATTTTTGATTACCTGGGTTAGTTCTATAGACACTTATCCATTTTTCCATGTTTTTCTTGACTTTTTTATCCATATAGAGGCAATGCGGAATTATAATCTCCAAAGGCTCTGAGATCCTGATATCATGTGGTCCGCATTCAATCACAGGGGAGATGAGCGTTTCTTCAGGTCCTACAGGGATATGCCGCAGCAACTCCGTTTCATCGTCGACTACACCGTAGAAGACCAACTGGCTGTCTCCAATCACGCCATTTCCGATAACTATCTTCACGTCGGAGTCAGGAGCGGCACTCAGTTCACCGCCGGAACTGCTGAAATATCCTTCAACTTGTGTGATGCGATTTAATACAGGTAGTGTAGGAAAGCGGTTGGTTAAACAGTCGCCTTCTTTGCGGTCATTGAGATCTACTTGGTCTTCCTGAAGATTTGTCACCTTTACAGAACGTCCAACTTTACGGTTGCTGTACAAGCCTATCTTTTTGGTCACTAAATGGTCGTCATCGACAAGTTGCGGGAACGCAGAAGAACTTTCGCCACTTGAAGGACTTTTACAAGTATCAACTGAGTCTTGAAAACAAAAAAAATTAAGAGGGGCTTATAACACTGTTCTTCGTGCACCTTTAGGTAAATGTTTCCTGGTTATGACTTGTCAAATAAGACTGTTAGTACACTTTATGACTTTTGTTTCATTTCAAAATTCAATTATGTATACTGAACAGTCATTTGATATGTATTACAATTATCTCCGAAAGTCATTTCACTTCGGGTTAAAACTAAATAAATGAAAAATTGCTCTGAGTCATTATTAGGGGGAGTTAATTTGAAGATTCACTGTTTTTCCTCGTGATAATAATCATAGCTATGACGACGACGAAGATACCTGAAGGAGTTTTTGATTTTTCGTCAAAGTTGCCCCAGTCTCCTTCTTCCGGAGCTGAGGACCTCGAGCTTCCAGCTGCACCATCAAATTGCCTATGGGCAATTGGTGCCAGCTGCAGCGGATCACCAGGATCAGTTGCCGGCTAAAANTAGTAGACAAGTAGTAGTAGACTAGTAGACAATCAGTTTCCTAAAGACCACAAACTTAGAAAAATTTTCAATCGCAATACAGTGAAGATCAGTTACATTTGTTTGAATAATACTAAACAGATAATCGAAGGTCACAACAACTGCATTTTAAATTCATTCAAACACATCAATGGTACCGCTGATAACACCCACAAAAAAGACAACAAAACTTGCAACTGCCGACGAAAGAACACATGCCCAGTTAACGGAAACTGCCTCCAAATATCAGTAATCTACGAAGCCACCGTCAGAAGTAAGGATAACAGCACTACTCAAACATACATCGGACTCACAGAAAAAGACTATAAAAAATGATACAGAAACCACACCACATCATTGCAACACACAAAACACGGAAACTACCGAGCTCAGCAAACATATCTGGACTCTTAAATAAAATAACATTGACTACTTTATATCATAGCGCATCCTTTCATCACGATCACTATACAACAGCGCAAGTAAGAAATGCAACCTCTGCCTCAGTGAAAAGTTACTTATCATGTGCCGGCCTGAATTGTGGTAACTCAATAAACGGAATGAACTTGTGTCCTCCACAAGTTTCCCCACCTTTGTAGAGAATATTATATTTGGTGCGATATTTCCGTTCTCGTTCTGTTGGTTGTGACCACCTACATCTATTATGGTATGATCTGGAACTTCGTAACAGTTTCTTCGAGGTGCATCGTGACTGTTTGGATCACCAAGGGGAACCTTAATGTTTCGTTTAAAGCTCCGTCTAAATTTCAAGAAAAAAAAAACATAAAATGGCTCTTATTATCGTATTATTATTGAATTTCTAACGCAGCACAACAAAACATTCGTAAATATGCACAAAGCTTTAGCATTTGCTTTATTATTTTCTGTTGGATATTGGCCGAGTTCTCTTTTTGCATTTTTATGGACCGAGGCGAAGTCGAGGTCCATAAAAATGCGAAAAAGAAAAAAAACCAGGTTAATATCCAGCCATCTTGACCGAGCGGTATGAATACGGGCAATTCCGAGCGGGCAAGATGGACCAATCTTGCCCGCTCGGGTAGCCAATCAGAACACAGGATTCGCTCCATCTTGCCCACGTGGTCAACTAGACGCCTCGTGTCGATACTTATTCTGGGTTACTACCAAATCTATTCATTGTAGAACTGCATCGATGAAATAAAAAAGAAAAAAGGATTAATGAACAGATTACGAAAAAAATTAATTTTTACTTATAATGATTTTGCATTCTTTTTTACGGACATCACTCCACTATGTGAGAAATGGTGACCTCAAAATGGATTAAAAAAAAATTAAAGTTTTATTTGAGCCATAGTTTCCCTGAATTACTTCAAATCATTTGGCAATAATTTCAAACTTACCTTAATGTTATTATTGTTAACCGTGACGTTATTATTATAGAAACCACAATTCTGATTAAAACTGCATGCGATTGAAATATAGATTATGACACTATGGTTTGATTTGGTCCTGGGTGATTTCCATGGAACGAATGAGCTGAAAAGGCATTAGATACGTTAGTAATTAAATCTTCGCTTGAAAATGTGAACGAAAATAAATATTTTTTCAACCACAATATAGGAGCAGCTAACCTGGGTGGGTTATAGATATAAAAGATAATAAAAGCAAAATTGAGCAAAAAGACTAAAAACCAGGAAAAACTATCCTGGTATGATCGGGAAAATGGAGATATACAGCACTGCTTCGTGTTTCTCACGGCAATAAGGAGAAAGTCACGTTGTTTCTGAGATTGTTTTGTATCTTCGTTCTCTTCTTAGCGTCAACTCATCTCTGCAACGAATGTCATTGGACCCCGTCCATTTCCCGTCGTTTCCACATAACCTGGAGAAGGTTCCATTAGGAACAGATCCGGGAATTCGACAAGAAAATGTGCAAGTCTGATTGTAAGGGCTCCTCGATAGACACGAAGAGGGCGAAATAACAACGTTCGTTGGAGGTACAAGAGGACCGCAGCTGACAACTGAGGGAATCAATGGAAAAAAATGAAATAATTTTCTGAGTTTACTTTAAGTTTCTTTTTTGTTTTTAATTCTTCAAAATGTACAAAAGTTGAAAACTCCGCAAATGAGAAAGCCGCGAAGGACAGTGGTTAAAATCTCGCGTATTA